TTTTTTTTTTTTTTTTGTAGTTTAGTGTATAGCACTAAACGATTAGGGACTCTTACACACGCACAGATAAGTAGGAATAAACCTGGGGAAATCGGAATGAAACTGTATTGGTGTCAATATTTTGGTTATGATGATGATTTTTTACCAGAGTTTCATAAGATGTCACCACTGAGGGGCAGGGCGGAAAGGATACCAGGATCTCTCTGTTGTAGTTCTTATAACTGCCTATGAATCTATAATTATCTCAAAATTTAAAGTTTAATTTTAAAAGATAGCAGCTCTTTTTAAAAAAAACGTAACCGTAATACTATGCCCTTCCTTCCCCCACTCCCAAATTTTGGTAGTGTCCGGATTCTCAGTTGCCTCTAATGTAGTAGTTTTTTGCAATGGTTTGAATTGAGATCCAGACAAAGTTCACATTTTCACTTGGTTGGTAATGTCTCTGGTCAGTCCCTGTTCACCTACAGGCCCCTCCTCGATTTTTCTTCCTGTGTCCCCTCACCTCCAACCCCCCATCTTCCTTGCCATTTACTTGGTAAAGAAAACAGGGTGTGTGTGTAGTTTCTGAGACTCTGGATCACACCCTGGTAGTCTGCGTCACCCTGTTCTGTATTTCCTACAAACCGGTCCTTGGGTACAGAGGCTTAAAGTGGCAATAAAGGGTGCATGTTGAACTACCAGCCACCCGCCTGCCCTGGCCTCGGGCGTCTTCCCAGAGGCGGCTAGCGCCCTGTGTGTATTTGGTTGTCCAAAGCTTAGAGACCACCATGGAATGAGCTCCCCTTTGTTTCTTTCTTTTCTTTTATCTTTTCGGTAAATTCTAGAGTCTGGTAAAAATTGAACATATAAGCATGTGATGCCATTTACAAAGTAAGGTGTGGGCTTCTCTTTTTAAAAACACTTTACTTTATAAATTTTTAAACTTACATACAATAAAATTGACTGCTTTTGTTGTACAGTTCCATGAGTTTAGGCAGATTTCACCACGAGCAGGATACGGAGCAGCCCCATCACCCCAAAAGCTCCCTCTTGCCCCTCTGTAGTCAGCCCCTCTCCTTACCCCAACCCCTTACGACCACTGGTCTATTTCCTGACCCTATAATTTTTCGTTTTCTAGACTGTCATATAAATGGGAACATATAGCAGGGAGCCTTTTGAGTCTGGCTTTTTTTACAGTGTCACTGAGACTCACACCTGGCTGCGTGTCCACAGTTCATCTCCTTTTACTGCGAGGGCTGCACTGCGTGGATGTGTCCTGGGTCGCGCACCCATTCGCCCGCTGTTTCCGCGTGGGCAGCTCTGAGTAGAGCTGCTGCACCTACCCGTGAACAGGATCTTGTGCGAACATAAGCTTTTATTTCTCTAGAGGAAACAGTGAAGAGCGGGATTGCAGGATCGTATAGTAAGTGACGTTTAAGTTCAGGAGAAACTGCCAAACTGTTTCCCAGAGTGGCTGTGGCCTCTGGCACTGTCGCCGGCATGTCCGGGAGGTGGAGCCCCCTCCCCGAGCTCTGCCTTGTCTGCTTTTGGTCTCGGTCATTCCATTGGGTGTATTGTGGTATCTCGTGGCTTTAATCTGTGTTTCCCTAATGGCTATTAACATGCATTTATTTTCTTGTGCTTCTTTGCCATTCACATATCGCCTTGCTGTTGTTAATCATCACCTGAGGACATTTTTTCCATTGCTTTTCAGAGAGAGTGGGAGGGAGGGAGGTGGGGAAGAGAAAGAGAGAGAGGGAAACATCAATGTGAGAGACCCATCGACTGGTTGCCTCCAGCACGTGCCCTGACCAGGGGTGTGGGAGTGAACCCACAACCCAGGTACATATCTTTGACCAGGAATTGACCTTGCGACCCTTTGGTCCTCAAGCCGACAGTCTAACCACTTAGCAACACTGCCCAGGGCCACATATCTTTTTTGATGAACAATCTGTTTAAATATTTTGCCATTGGGGGTATTGTTAGCATTCTTACTCTTGGGTTTTCAGAGTTTTTTTAATATATTTTGGATACAAGTTCTTTGTCAGATATGTGATTGGAAAAGATTTTTTTCCAAGTCTGTACTTTTTCTTTTCATTTTCTTAAAGATATCTTTCACAAAGCCAGAGGTTTTCATTTTGGTGGAGTCCAATTTATCAATTTTTCTTTTATGGATCATGTTTTTGGTATTGTATCTAAGAACTCTTTTCCTAACCCAAGGTCACAAAGACTTTTTCCTGTGGTTTCGTCTTCAAGTTTATGGTTTTACATTTTACATTCATCTTCTTGGACATTTACACCACGGAATACTATGGAGCTATAAAAAACAAACAAAGGATCCCTTACCCTTTGGGACAACACGGTGGGACCTGGAGAGTATTATGCTAAGAGAAATAAGCCAGTCAGAGAAAGACAAATATCACATGATCTCACTCATATGCGGAATCTAATAAACAAAATAAACCGATGAACAAAATATATCCAAGGACATAGAAGCATGGGACAGACTGAGGGATCTCAGAGGGAAGGCAGGGGTGAGGGAGGGGGTGGGGAGAGATTAACCTAAGAAATTATATGCATATATGCATAACCCATGGACACAGACAATAGTGTGATGAAGGCCTGGAGAGGGAGGAGGGTGCGGGGTGGAGGGGATCAATGGGGAAAAGGGGGAACATTGGTAATACTTTCAAAAATAAAGATAAATTAAAACTTTTTTTTTAAAAGTGTGCAATTCGGTGACATTAAGAACATTCACAGTGTTGTGCAAACATCACCACTATCCATTTCTAGAACGCTTTCATCACAACAAGCAGAAACTACTCATTCAACAGTAACTGCCCATTTCTCCCTCCCCCAAGGCCCCAGTCACCTCTATTATACTTTCTGTCTCTGTGAACTGACCTATTCAAGTGCAGTCATATAATATTTGTCACTTCGTGTCTGACCTATTTCACTTACTTTATCTCAAGGTTGCTTTACATTGTAACCTGATATCAGGATTTCTTCTTTTTTAAGGCCGAATGATTCCTCACTGTGTACATATTCGCACTTTGCTCATTCACTCATCTGCTGACGCGTATTTGCAGTGTTTCCATCCTTTGGCTGTTGTGAATCCTGCTGCTGCGAACATTGGGCACTGACCCGGGAGTGGCATTGCCCGGCCGCGTGCTAACCCGCGCGCAGTTCTTGGAGGCACCGCCAGCCTCGGTCCCAACTGTCCCACCCGCCGGCACGCCAGGGCTCTAATCTCCCCGCTTCCTCCCAATACTGGCTGTTTCTTACTGCTTTTCTTTTTATAATAGCTATCCCGAGGGGTATGGAGTGCTTCATCCATTTTGAAAACTATCTTTATTAGATTTGGGTGCCAAGGATGAGCTGGCTTTTTCAGAGAACCTTTCCTTCCTTCTCGATGCTCTGGGACCTGTGTGATACACAACACAGGACATTTCTTCCCTTTGCAGGTGTGAGAGTCTGTACCGGAGGGACTCTGGGGGCCAGACGCCACATCTTAGGAGCTGCCTCCTTGGCACCGCCTGCTGTCTCCTCGGTGGTTACTAACACAAGCGGTCTTCTAACTCTTCCAGAGACTTTTGAATCATATTTATTTTCCTAGAAAACTGTGTGTGATATTGAAGGCTCAGATTTTCTCTTTTTTTTTTTGCTAATATATATATATTAATACTCCTAATATTGTCTCTTTATTTTCTCCCTCTAGATTGGCTTTCCCAGTTGTGTGTGTATATGTTTAAAAATATGTTTTCTTCAAAGAACAAGCTCTGGAATCCATTCAGAGTTCCTCTGCTTCTCAGCTGCGGAGTTTGTTGCTCTCTCTGGGAAGCAGAACTTGGGAGCCCCCCCCACCAGGTCACAGCCGAGCAGCCCGGGTCATGATTGAGGGTCTGGGCCCTAGAGCCAGATGCTCTGAGTTCAAAGGCTCACTCCTTTACTTACTAGCTATTTGACCTTGACAAGTTATTTAAGCTCTCTGTGCTTCAATTTCCCCATCTGTAGATAGAGGGAAAACAGTACTTACCACATGAGGTTAATATTAATATTAAAGAGCTGACAGTTCTTAAGTGCTTGGAGGAGTGCCTGGCACAGAGCAAGCACTGCAGACGCGTTTCTTAACTAAATCTCGACTTCCCTCCTGTGTGCTAGAAGCCCAGGTCCCCTGGGAGCCTCTGCGTTCCCCAAATACATGTTCTGCGCCTTCCTACCACTTAACACTCGCTGCCTCTTGTTTTGCAGAATCACCTCTGTGCAGAAAACCCCCACTTTACTTTCCATTCTGCTGCCTGAGACAACCACATCCTCACACACCCGGCCCCCATGGAGAGTTCAGGTCAGTGCGGTCGGGGGACAGGGGTCTGGTGCACCTGCTGCATCATGGGAAAGACCCCCTGGTAGGTGAGACTGCCCAGGGCTGGCAGGACCACCTCCGCCCAGCCGGCTGTGAGACCCCAACTCAGCTGCCCAAACATGAGAACGTGTTGAGAGACGGACATCCACATGCTTGTAGGAGCCTCAGCTGTTTGCAGGTCACTGAGTTGGACATTGGGAATGATGACAATATTAGCCAAGACTTATTACCAAAAACTTGCATTTATTTAACAAAAACCCCTATAGAGTTTATAGTATGTCAAGTAGTAGTGAAAGCACAACAAATATTAACTCAGTCGTTTTAAAGATAGATATTATCCTTACTCCCATTTTACAGAAGGGGAAAGTGAGACACAGGGAGGACAGGTATTGTTCCCAAGGTGACATAGATACTGTGTGGTTAAACCAGGATTTGAACCCAGAGACCTGGCTCCAGCATCCTGCTCTTAGTGGTTTCACGGTGGATGGCCTCATGCAAACGTCAGAAGGATTCTGTGAGGTAGGGATATCAGTGAGATTTTCCTTATTTTACTGAAAGGGAAACTGACGCTCAAGAGAGGTCAGGTAATTTGATCAAAGCCACATAGCTAGTAAGTGGCAGAGTCAGGACTGGAACCCAGATCTGGCTGATTCCAAAACCCAGACTCTTTTCCTATAACAACCTGGGACAAGGGGAGATGACTCTTCCCCTAAGATATCTATTAACCAGTGGTCACGCAGCAACTCCGAGTACTCCTCAGGTCACCAGGCATGGACTCCAGTGCCCTTGAGGATCCCTGTCTTGGGGAAGGTGAGGGGACACCCCAAGGCAGGCACAGCGACCAAGTTATTATCACCTAAGAAACACACACTTTCCACACCCGCTCACCGCCAGGGAGCGTGGCCCAGTCACAAGATCCCGCTGAGTCAGGCCAGCCCAGTGAGCCCCGGTGGGCAATATTCTGCATCACCTTCAACCAGAACGGGGTTCGCTAGGAAGGTAGTGGTGGGCCAGCCCTGTGTAAATCTAAATGTTTTAAAACCAGCTTACTTTGTACCCACTTTAATCATAACAGAGAACACATGCTGTGCTGATTTAGGAAGAGAGGTATACCAAAAAGGTTCTTTGGATACAGGCAATAGAAACCCGAGGGTCCCTGTAACCCTTCCATCTGAGGGGACATGCCCCCCCCCCTCCACTCCTCAGCTGGAGAAAGCTGGGAAATATTAAGTTCATGATTCCACCGCCTCCCCATCCCGATGCATGGTCCTTTGTGGGTGCGCCAGCGTCCTTCACAGAGACAGAACCGGTAGGATGTGTGCACATACACAGAATGAGATCCATTATAAGGCATTGGCTCGCGTGATTCTGGAGGCTGACGATTCCTAGGATCTGCAGTTGGCAAGCTGGAGGCCCCGGGGGGGAGGGGTGTGGTATAGATCCGTCCAAAGGCCGACAGGCTCTGGACTGAGGAAGAGCCAGTGTTTCGGCTCAAGTCCAAATGCAGGAAAAGTTCTGCGGATAGGTTCTTTGCACACAGGCAATAGAAACCTGAGGGTCCCTGTAACCCTCAGGGACCCTCAGGGGGGCCCCAGCTGGAATGCAGTCGAGCAGAGGGAATTTCCTCAGGCAGCCTTTTGTTCTAGTCTGTCCTTCAACTGATTGGATGAGGCCCACCCACTTGGGGGGGTTCTCAGCTTTGTTCAGCCTGTTGATTAAAATGTTAAACTCATCTGAAACACCCTCACAGACACTCCCACAATGTCTGACCAAATGCCTGAGCATCCTGTGGCCCGATCAAGTGAACACATAAAAATTAACCATCACAAGCGGGTATGGGGTAACTTCCAAACCACAAAAACTAGCCTGGGCTTGAAAAAAATCTTAGATTTTATTAATGTCATGGCTGGGCCCAAGGAGAGTTAGAGCACTGGTGTCTATAAGGGTTACATTTCTGAACAAAGGTTGGATCTTTAGCAAAACAAGCTAATGAGCAACACAAACAAATGAACAAATAAAACAGACTTTCTCCCATCGTATTTTTTATTTATTTTATTTTATTTTTTTGAATTGCTTACTTTTGTCTTTTTTTTTTTAATTTTGTTTTTGTTTAAAATATTGCAGGGATGGAGGAGGGCGGGTAGGCGGAGGGGGAGAGAGTAACCAAAGAATTTATATGCATATATACACAATCCCATTGTATTTTTTAAAATCACCACCACCGCTGCCACAATAACCAGGAGCATTGCCAGGGAGAAGCTACCCTGGCTCTCTGACATCATTCCTAATTTGGGAACAATTATCCTCCTTGAACTCTGAGCATCTTGTCACCTGATTCCTTCCTTGGCTAACAGATCAGTTATCCAGAACTCCAAGCTTATCACCTAAGGCAGTAATTCTCACTTAGCTGTACATTAGCTTCTCCTGGGAGTTATTTTATTTTATTTTTATTTACTTATGTGTGTTAATCCACACTCAAGGATCTGTTTCTATTGATTTTTTTTTTTTTTTTAGAGAGAGTGGAAGGAAGGGAGGGAGGGAGAAAGAGAGAAACATTGATGTGAGAGAGACACATCGATCGGTTCCCTCCCTCATGCAGCCCGCCTGGGGCCAGATATCAAACCTGCAACCCAGGTAATGCCCTTGACTGGGAATCAAACCCATGACACTTTGGTGCTCAGGCTGAAGTTCTAACCACTGAACCACACCAGCCAGGACACCTGGAGAGTTATTTTGAAAGTTGCTTATCAGGCCCCACCCTCAGGGAAGTGATTTAATTGGTTTGGGGCGGGCTGTGCATTGGTATTTTCTTTGAAAGCTTCCCAGGAGATTCTAACAGTGCAGCCAAGGTTTGGAACTAGGAGTGTGGGAAGAGATTTGACCCTGTCTGGGATTGCAAGGCAATGGAGAGCTGGCATCGCCAAGTCCTAGGACAGCTGTGAATGACATGAAATTGAGGACCAGACCCTGAACTATGGGGGTCCTAGCGTGTTTAGGATCCTGTCAGCCTCTCTTCTCCTTCTCTCCCTACTGTCTCTTCAGCAATATTAACACCTACCTTGGTCTGAGAGCTAGGAACTTTTATTCAGGCAACTTTATTGGGGCATTTATTTCTGCGTTCAAACTCCATGCACACATAGATAGACACATGTTCATAGTCTCACCTAGGCACACTTCTCTCTTTCTCCAGCAAGCGGGTGGATGGTCACATGCAAGAGTGCAGCATTAGAGGAAGAGCATTTGACCAAGAAAAAGCTCTGTGGCCTTGTGTAAAATCCCCTCTCCCCTCGGAGCCTCACTTCCCCATTTGTAACATGGGAGGAGAGCCTCCAAGGTCCCCCTGGGTCTGACCCGTGATGGGAGAGGCAGTAAGGGGCTCTCGGCCTGGAATCTACAAAACAGGGAGAGCAGTGTTTGTCCTGCAGAATTCAGAGGGCTCTGCTCGGAATTTAATGAGATAATAGATTAGAAAACACTTTTAAACCATGAGTCAGCCAGAGTGCTAGTTGCTGTAACAAATGACTCCACGTTGGTGGATTAACACAAATGCTTCTTTCTCCCATTGTCATCCAACCTGGGCTCCGAACAGTCTTGCAGGGACTAAGGCTTCTTCCCTCTCGTGGTGCCATCATTTTGAGANGAAGTTCTAACCACTGAACCACACCAGCCAGGACACCTGGAGAGTTATTTTGAAAGTTGCTTATCAGGCCCCACCCTCAGGGAAGTGATTTAATTGGTTTGGGGCGGGCTGTGCATTGGTATTTTCTTTGAAAGCTTCCCAGGAGATTCTAACAGTGCAGCCAAGGTTTGGAACTAGGAGTGTGGGAAGAGATTTGACCCTGTCTGGGATCGCAAGGCAATGGAGAGCTGGCATCGCCAAGTCCTAGGACAGCTGTGAATGACATGAAATTGAGGACCAGACCCTGAACTATGGGGGTCCTAGCGTGTTTAGGATCCTGTCAGCCTCTCTTCTCCTTCTCTCCCTACTGTCTCTTCAGCAATATTAACACCTACCTTGGTCTGAGAGCTAGGAACTTTTATTCAGGCAACTTTATTGGGGCATTTATTTCTGCGTTCAAACTCCATGCACACATAGATAGACACATGTTCATAGTCTCACCTAGGCACACTTCTCTCTTTCTCCAGCAAGCGGGTGGATGGTCACATGCAAGAGTGCAGCATTAGAGGAAGAGCATTTGACCAAGAAAAAGCTCTGTGGCCTTGTGTAAAATCCCCTCTCCCCTCGGAGCCTCACTTCCCCATTTGTAACATGGGAGGAGAGCCTCCAAGGTCCCCCTGGGTCTGACCCGTGATGGGAGAGGCAGTAAGGGGCTCTCGGCCTGGAATCTACAAAACAGGGAGAGCAGTGTTTGTCCTGCAGAATTCAGAGGGCTCTGCTCGGAATTTAATGAGATAATAGATTAGAAAACACTTTTAAACCATGAGTCAGCCAGAGTGCTAGTTGCTGTAACAAATGACTCCACGTTGGTGGATTAACACAAATGCTTCTTTCTCCCATTGTCATCCAACCTGGGCTCCGAACAGTCTTGCAGGGACTAAGGCTTCTTCCCTCTCGTGGTGCCATCATTTTGAGATTTTTTTTTTTAAATATACCTTTATTGATTTCAGAGAGAGGAAAGGAGAGGGAGAGAGAGAGAGAGAGAGATAGAAACAGCAATGATGAGAGAGTCATTGATCGAGCCCGCAACCCGGGCATGTGCCCTGACAGGGAATCGAACCCCGATCGCCTGGATCCCAGGTTGATGCTCAGCCGCTGAGCCACGCCCGGCCGGGCGGTGCCATCATTTTGAACGTGTGTCTTCCAAGGTCACCATGGAATGGGAAAGAGAGCCAGGATAGTGCAGAGGGTTTTATGACCAGGGCTGAAAGTGGCATATGTCACTTTCACCACATTCCCTTGGCCAGAACTCAGTCACATGGCTCCTGTCTAACTCCAGGTCAGTCTATGAAATGCAGTCTTT